TTGAGTTAAAATTCTTGAGTTATTATGAAGTATGTTTGTTGACTGTGGAAGAGAGGCACAAAGGTCTTTTTGTAATCAACTGATACACTTTCTACAGCATGTAAAGAAGGATTGTGTTTGTTTTAAATTAAAAATATTTTTTTAAAAAAATACATCAAATGAGCAGATACAATGCACCTTTATTTAAAAAAAAGAAAAGTGTAAGGTCATGTTGAAGCAATCACTAATAGGAAGAGAGCATCAAACGGCTTCGATAAGTCATAGCTACAGTATTGCTATAATCTTGCAATGTTCTTGGAAAGAACTTCAAAGAAGACTGATCATCCCATAGTCAGAGAAGCAACTAGGTTTTCTAACAGTAAGTAGTATCAAATCTGTTCATCATTGTGTATAAAGTACATACAATGTATAAACTAGAGGTAGTTCTCCAATTATAAGCATTCATTTAGTGCTCAAAGTTACATTGGTGCTAAAAAAAAAGTTGCTTATGACCAGTTCTTGAAATACGACATCTGCAGCATCTCTTCAGTCACATGTTCAAAATTCAGGAGCTTGGCAACTCACATGCATTTGCATCAATTACAGTATTCCTGGGTCACAAGATTGCCATTTGCAATTTTCCCAGCCAGTTTCTCACAAGCAAAATCAAGAACAGAAGTTGGATTCACTAAATGATGCAATTCACTTAATAATTGTAATGATTGTGATTAAAAAGGTAATAAAAGGAGGTATGACTCATTTAGCAACCACTTAACTTAGCAATGGACGTTCTAGTCTCAACTGTAGTTGTGAATTGAGGACTGCCTGTAATGCATTTTATTATTCAGATGCGATTTTCATAAGGGAGGATAATATATACTGTTGTCAACTGAATGGGTAAGATATCAACTCCAGCCAGGTTGAAAAATATACTGTGTGGGGCATGTGAAACGTTAAATAAACAACTCACTAGGAATAATCTCAAAAGGCAGGGAGATTGCACTGACTGGTTCTATCAGACTGGAAGTCATGGTCCCAAATATTCTGCTTTATTTTGGCTATCCCTCTTCTCCTATACGCTGAAGATGTGTCTATTATGTACCATATTTTGGGAGTATAAGAAGCACCGGAGTATAAGACACACCCAGGTTTTGAAGAGGCTTTTTTAAAAAAAGTAGGTAAGTAGATAGAGGGATAGAGAGGTAGAGAAAGAGAGAGAAACACAGTAGGTAGGTAGGGAGAGAGAGAGAGTAGTTAGTTAGTTAGGTAGGTAGGTAGATAAAGGGAT